CTGTGTGTGCGCATATCTTAGTGTGCATGTCTGTGTGTGCCTGTCTGTACGTGTGCATCTGTATGTGCGTCTGTGAGTGTGTGCGCATGTCTGTGTGCATGTCTGTGTGTGCGTGTCTGTATGTGTGCATCTGTGCGTCTGTGTGTTCGCATGTCTGTGTGTGCGTGCACTTGTGTATCCATGTGTGTGGAGTGAGAGGTTTGGTGTGAATGTGAGAGCAGGGGGATTAAGTACTCAGGATTCTGAAGCGGGAGGCCAGGTGGCTGCTTTTGGACTCAGGACAAGACATTCCCTTTGCCGGAGGAGCAGCTGGAGGAGGTCCCTCCGCATTCACTCAAAAAGGGTTCGAACTAATTTGAAGCTTCCAGGAGGGCGGGGGGACCCTGATTTCGGGGACCTCAGGTTTGGGTGCCGGTGACTATGGGGTCTCTTTATGGTCAGGGCTCCTCTCTGGGCCTCCTAGATGGTGGAACCCCTGAGCTCTGTGCCGCGAGCCTGAAGGAGCTCCTGGGCGTCTGAGGAGGAGCTGCGTCTTTGGATGCCAATCTCTGGGCTCTTCCAGGATGTTTGTTCTCAAGAAATCTGCTCTAGCCACAAGCTCTTCACACTGCGGACTAGAGAGAGTCCCCTCAGAGCCTCTGACCTTTATCTCCACTTCCTGTGAATGGGCGAAGCCCCGCGCCATGCCTCTCCTTTCCCGCCTTTTCTAGGAATTCCTCCTGCCTCAGTGTCCTTGCTCTGCCGTTAACCACGGCTGGGGTCAGAATCCACAGTCTAGCCAATCTTTCCAAGAGGGACTATGGTTGTTAACTGTCCCTGCTGACACTGGGACCTGTCTCCCCTCCCTGGCCTGAGTCTTACCTTGATTCTCTTAATGACAGAGAGGGAGACGTAAAGAACTCGGGAGCCAACGCCAGCGCGAGCTACACTGGTCTCCGCCTCTTGCTCCCTGCAGATGCTGTTGGGGACCAGCCTCAACATCACCCGTAGGGTACCCAAAGTCCGGTGGCAACTAAGGAATGAGAAGAGACAGGTTAAGAGTGTATAAAGAGTGGGGGCCAGGGGGCCAATTGCAAAGTGGAGGCTGCAAAAGGCCCAGAGTTCTGGTCTCCACTCTGTTTATTGAGTACAATCACTTAGATCTACGAAGCAAACGTTCAGGGCGAAATGGTGAAAGGGAGCAGTGCGTCCTACGTGTAATCTATAGCAGTGGCGGTTTAAATGAATCTCCTTTGTGCTCAAACAGCGTATTTTTAACTTATCGGAGAGTAGCTAGTGGGAGCGGGCTTAACTGGGAACCTGCACGTCTGGCCACATTCCAACGCTTCAGAGGAGTGTCTTTCTCCTTAAACACAGTGTTCATGGATAAGAGAGCAAGTCTCGCTCAGAACATGGGAAAATAATGGCAATAAGAAGGCATCCTCCTCAGAGGCCTCTTGTGGCTTTCCACAACTTATTGTCCCATATTTTTATGGCCAGTTAATACAAGCACCCCATATGCCTTTCCACCAGCAGATACCAGGCGTGAGCTACATTGGTCTCTGCCTCCTGTTCCCTGCAGGTGCCAGGCGCGAGCTACACTGATGTCTGCTCCCTGCAGGTGCCAGGCGCGAGCTACACTGATGTCTCTGCTTCCGCAGGTGCCAGGCACGAGCTACACTGATGTCTGTTCCCTCAGGTGCCAGGCGCGAGCTACACTGATGTCTGTTCCCTCAGGTGCCAGGTGCGAGCTACACTGATGTCTGCTTCCTCAGGTGCCAGGTGCGA